GGGACCAGAGAGGGAGACTAGAGAGAGACCGGGGAGAGACTAGGAACCAGAGAAGGAGACTAGAGAGAGACCGGAGAGAGACCAGAGAGAGACTAGGGACCAGAGAGGGGGACTAGAGAGAGACCGGGGAGAGACTAGGAACCATAGAGGGAGACTAGAGAGAGACCGGAGAGAGACTAGGAACCAGAGAGGGAGACTAGAGAGAGACCGGAGAGAGACTAGGAACCAAAGAGGGAGACTAGCGAGAGACCAGAGAGAGACTAGGAACCAGAGAGGGAGACTAGCGAGAGACCGGAGAGAGACTAGGAACCAGAGAGGGAGACTAGCGAGAGACCGGAGAGAGACTAGGAACCAGAGAGGGAGACTAGCGAGAGACCGGAGAGAGACTAGGGACCAGAGAGGGAGACTAGCGAGAGACCGGAGAGAGACTAGGGACCATAGAGGGTTAGACTAGAGAGAGAGAGATCCAAGAGAGAGACCTACCTCTAGGGACTGGAAAGGGAGACTAGTTTCTTGTCATTTACACACAATGCTGCGTGATTCACATTTGATTATAAACATCTTCACATGCGCACACACGCCGCCATTGCTCTCCCCTCAGTCCTCTGATCACCACAGCCCTCTCCCAGGTTTCACTTACTTACTTTCTACAGCAATTTTGGTTCCTGCCTCGTACAGCAACTAAAGCCCAACCCTTATATGAATCCCTTCTAGTTACACACAAACACAAATACGAAATCAAAATAGAAAACCCGGGATCAGAACGAGCCCACGGTTGCAAACGGTAATTGAGGAGTCTGTAGGAGCCAGAGTGAGTTGAAGCAAAACACTTCCCTGTTGGACTTCGTAGAGCTAGCGGGTTAGCTTTGTCCATCTGTATCCAGTCCCTGTGTCCTCTGCGGGGCCTGGTCCTCCCGGGGGACCCCTCCTCTGGTGTTGGCAGCGGTGCATGTCCGTTCATTCTGTTGTCCTTTGAACGTCTCCCGAGGCCTTTACCTTCAGCGAGGAAGTGTCAGAGTGAGACGGGAGCAGAGGAACGAGAGTCGGAGGCTTTGGACCGCTGTGTTTTTAAACCGATGCACTTTATTGGTCAAAATATGGGAAAAAGAGATGATGTGAGAAGATTAGAAAGACCTTTTTGCCCTTGTTTGATTGTTGTTATCTATCTATCTATGCATCTGTGAGGGTGTGATTCCAGCCGAAACTCTGACTGTAATGTGTGCACTTCTTAGTATGACTTTTCTGACTTTTTTCACACTATTTTAGTAAGATTGTTGCATAATTGTAGTTAAAAGTTTAAGAAAAACATGCACCACAGTATTTCACACCTGCTTGGATAGATAGATTGCTTTATGATGCTTAAACTAGAGATTAGGAACCAGAGAGGGAGACTTGAGAGAGACCAGAGAGAGACAAGGAACCAGAGAGGGAGACTAGAGAGAGACCGGAGAGAGACTAGGAACCAGAGAGGGAGACTAGCGAGAGACCGGAGAGAGACTAGGGACCAGAGAGGGAGACTAGAGAGAGACCGGAGAGAGACTAGGAACCAGAGAGGGAGACTAGAGAGAGACCAGAGAGAGACAAGGAACCAGAGAGGGAGACTAGAGAGAGACCGGGGAGAGACTAGGGACCAGAGAGGGAGACTAGAGAGAGACCGGGCTTGTTTATTATGCTAAAGCTAGAGATTTTATTTTATTTTAGCATAGCATTATTGTTCACTTATCTTGTGCTGTGTGTGGGAACGAGACCCATTTTTCTCAGAATTTATTGCATTTGTGTGTGGAAAGTCTCGATGAAAAGGTCAGTCTTTCAGTCATAAATCTCGTTGATGATTTGGGTCCGGCCTGAGCTGGGGCCATGTTCGTGTTAGAGCCCTGCCTCACACCCTGGACTCACTTATAACTAGTACCAGTCATGTTAGCTAAAGCAGAGAGAGTGGAGAAGCTAGTACCGTATATATTTTGTGTACATAATATATACGGTACTCTACAGGCCTCTTCAGCTGATTGGAAAGTCATGAACAGATTTCACACTTCTGCAAATATTAACATGTACAACCGAAGAGGAGGACCTAAACTGATGAATAAACAAATACATAGGGAGGCGGTAGAAGTGAGCAAGAGGGTCGTTACGTTCTACTCGAATAACTAAAAATGCAACATGTCTGATTGAAAACACACAGATCTAGAGTACACTATCGTCTAAAAAGGCAGAAAACAAATAGATCTAGAGCTGGGGTACCCGACTTTAGATCTGCAACAATGGAAATGTCGTGAAATCCAGCTTCTCGTTTTCATTTCATTTAGATATAGATATTTAAAGGGCAGTATGCAATAACACTTTAGGTTTAGGGTAAGTGCAATAGCATACGGCACTTTAAGCTGAAGTGCAAGATCGTGGGGTGCTCTCTGTTTTGACGCCTTGTTATAAACTATATATGGTCCTGGAGGTCTCTGATGGTCCTAGAGGTCTCTGTTGGTCATAGAGGTCTCTGATGGTCATAGAGGTCTCTGATGGTCCTAGAGGTCTCTGATGGTCATAGAGGTCTCTGTTGGTCATAGAGGTCTCTGATGGTCATAGAGGGCTCTAATGGTCCTAGAGGTCTCTGATGGTCATAGAGGTCTCTTATGGTCCTAGAGGTCTCTGATGGTCCTAGAGGTCTCTGATGGTCCTAGACGTCTCTGATGGTCATAGAGGCCTCTGATGGTCCTAGAGGTCTCTGTTGGTCATAGAGGTTTCTTTTGGTCATAGAGGTCTCTGATGGTCCTAGAGGTCTCTGTTGGTCATAGAGGTCTCTGAAGGTCCTAGAGGTCTCTGATGGTCCTAGACGTCAATGATTTTCCTAGAGGGCTCTGATGGTCCTAGAGGTCTCTGATGGTCCTAGAGGTCAATGATTTTCCAAGAGGGCTCTGATGGTCCTAGAGGTCTCTGATGGTCCTAGAGGTCTCTGATGGTCATAGAGGGCTCTGATGGTCCTAGAGGTCTCTGATGGTCCTAGAGGTCTCTGATGGTCATAGAGGTCTCTGATGGTCCTAGAGGTCTCTGATGGTCCTAGAGGTCTCTGATGGTCCTAGAGGTCTCTGATGGTCATAGAGGCCTCTGATGGTCCTAGAGGTCTCTGTTGGTCATAGAGGTCTCTTTTGGTCATAGAGGTCTCTGATGGTCCTAGAGGTCTCTGTTGGTCATAGAGGTCTCTGATGGTCCTAGAGGTCTCTGATGGTCCTAGAGGTCTCTGATCGTCCTAGAGGTCTCTGTTGGTCATAGAGGTCTCTGATGGTCCTAGAGGTCTCTGATGGTCATAGAGGTCTCTGTTGGTCATAAAGGTCTCTGATGGTCATAGAGGTCTCTGATGGTCCTAGAAGTCTCTGATGGTCCTAGAGGTTTCTGATGGTCCTAGAGGTCTCTGATGGTCATAGAGGTCTCTGATGGTCCTAGAGGTCTCTGTTGGTCCTAGAGGTCTCTGATGGTCATAGAGGTCTCTGATGGTCCTAGAGGTCTCTGATGGTCCTAGAGGTCTCTGTTGGTCATAGAGGTCTCTGATGGTCCTAGAGGTCTCTGATGGTCCTAGAGGTCTCTGTTGGTCATAGAGGTCTCTGATGGTCCTAGAGGTCTATGATGGTCCTAGAGGTCTCTGATGGTCATAGAGGTCTCTGTTGGTCATAGAAGTCTCTGATGGTCCTAGAGGTCTCTGATGGTCCTAGAGGTCTCTGATGGTCATAGAGGTCTCTGTTGGTCATAGAGGTCTCTGATGGTCATAGAGGCCTCTGATGGTCCTAGAGGTCTCTGTTGGTCATAGAGGTCTCTTTTGGTCATAGAGGTCTCTGATGGTCCTAGAGGTCTCTGTTGGTCATAGAGGTCTCTGATGGTCCTAGAGGTCTCTGTTGGTCATAGAGGTCTCTGATGGTCCTAGTGGTCTCTGATGGTCCTACAGGTCTCTGATGGTCCTAGAGGTCTCTGATGGTCCTAGAGGTCTCTGATGGTCATAGAGGTCTCTGATGGTCCTAGAAGTCTCTGATGGTCCTAGAGGTCTCTGATGGTCCTAGAGGTCTCTGATGGTCATAGAGGTCTCTGTTGGTCATAGAGGTCTCTGATGGTCCTAGAGGTCTCTGATGGTCATAGAGGTCTCTGATGGTCCTAGAGGTCTCTGATGGTCCTAGAGGTCTCTGATGGTCCTAGAGGTCTCTGTTGGTCATAGAGGTCTCTGATGGTCCTAGAGGTCTCTGATGGTCCTAGAGGTCTCTGTTGATCCTAGAGGTCTCTGATGGTCATAGAGGCCTCTGTTGGTCATAGAGGTCTCTGATTCTGGTCTCGTGATGAGCGCGAACTCACAACCTTCAGGCTCAAAGGCCAAATGCAGAGAGTAAGGGGAGAAAGAGAGAGAGAGAGAGAGAGGGAGAGAGAGATGAGAGAGATGAGAGAGACAGAGAGAGGTGAAAGAGAGACAGAGAGATGTGAGAGAGACAGAGAGAGGAGAGAGAGACAGAGAGAGGTGAGAGAGACAGAGAGAGGCGAGAGAGACAGAGAGAGGAGATTGAGACAGAGAGAGGTGAGAGAGACAGAGAGAGGTGAGAGAGACAGAGAGAGGAGAGAGAGACAGAGAGAGGTGAGAGAGACAGAGAGAGGAGATTGAGACAGAGAGAGGTGAGAGAGACAGAGAGAGGAGAGAGAGACAGAGAGAGGTGAGAGAGACAGAGAGAGGTGAGAGAGACAGAGAGAGGTGAGAGGGACTACTTATTTTGAATATCGTGTGTGCTCCCAGTGTCTCTTTCTACTGTCCTGTCTGTGCGCTGCAACACTGAAATGTCCCCTCTGTGGGATGAATAAAGTGTCTCTTACTGTATCTGATCGTACTTCCTTAGTCCCATAAATCCTCTTGTCACATCCCAGTTTGCAGTTCACCAAACCAGGTCAGAGCGCTCTCCCTCCGTGCCCCACTAAACTGTCCCGACAGCCTCACAAATCCTTTTTTCTCTCGGACTTTGGGCTTGGCTTTTGGTAACATGCGTGCCACAGGGAGAGAGGGGTGAGGAGAGATGGGTGAGGGGAGGAAGGGGTGAGGCGGTGTTGTTGTGGTCCTCCTGGAGGCTCGTACTTGGCCCACACCTGACTGAACCCGTCACCGCAGACACATTGCTTTTTCGGCTCCAGCGATCGCCGCTGCTCGGTTCTCTCTGAGTCTGAGTCTGTGAGAGAGAGGCGCTACAGCCACACAGCAGCGAGAGAGCGTGTCGGAGAGGTAGTTTACACGGGAACAGGGAGAGAGGGGGGAGAGAGAGAGAGAGAGAGAGAGAGAGAGAGAGGTTACATAGAGATAGAAAGAGGTGAGAGACACAGAGAGAGATGGGAAAGGGAGATGGTTGGGAGAGGCGGGGAGACGTGAGATGAACAGAGAGACAGAGAGGTGAGGGAGACAGGTGTGAAAGAGAGAGAGAGGTGAAAGCGAGAGAGAGGTGAAAGAGAGAGAGACAGAGAGAGGTGAAAGAGACAGAGAGGTGAGAGAGACAAAGAGAGGTGAAAGAGAGAGAGAGGTGAGAGAGAGAGAGAGAGAGGTGAGAGAGACAGAGAGGTGAGAGAGAGAGAGAGGTGAAAGAGAGAGAGACAGAGAGAGGTGAGATAGACAAAGAGAGGTGAGAGAGACGGAGAGAGGTGAGAGAGAGAGGTGAAAGCGAGAGAGAGGTGAGAGAGACAGAGAGAGGTGAGAGAGAGAGAGGTGAGAGAGACAGAGAGAGGTGAAAGAGAGAGAGAGGTGAGAGAGACAGAGAGGTGAGAGAGACAAAGAGAGGTGAAAGAGACAGAGAGAGGTGAAAGCGAGAGAGAGGTGAGAGAGACAGAGAGAGGTGAGAGAGACAGAGAGAGGTGAGAGAGACAGAGAGAGGTGAGAGAGACAGAGAGGTGAGAGAGACAAAGAGAGGTGAAAGAGACAGAGAGAGGTGAAAGCGAGAGAGAGGTGAGAGAGACAGAGAGAGGTGAGAGAGACAGAGAGAGGTGAGAGAGACAGAGAGAGGTGAGAGAGACAGAGAGGTGAGAGAGACAGAGAGAGGTGAGAGAGACAAAGAGAGGTGAAAGAGACAGAGAGGTGGGAAAGGGAGATGGTTGGGAGAGGCGGGGAGAGGTGAGATGAACAGAGAGACAGAGAGGTGGGAAAGAGACAGGTGTGAAAGAGAGAGAGAGGTGAAAGCGAGAGAGAGGTGAAAGCGAGAGAGAGGTGAGAGATACAGAGATAGGTGAAAGCGAGAGAGAGGTGAAAGAGAGAGAGAGAGAGGTGAGAGAGACAGAGAGGTGAGAGAGAGAGAGGTGAAAGAGAGAGAGACAAAGAGAGGTGAGATACTCAAAGAGAGGTGAGAGAGACAGAGAGAGGTGAGAGAGAGAGGTGAAAGCGAGAGAGAGGTGAGAGAGACAGAGAGGTGAGAGAGAGAGGTGAAAGCGAGAGAGAGGTGAGAGAGAGAGGTGAAAGCGAGAGAGAGGTGAGAGAGACAGAGAGAGGTGAGAGAGACAGAGAGGTGAAAGCGAGAGAGAGGTGAGAGAGACAGAGAGAGGTGAGAGAGACAGAGAGAGGTGGGAGAGACAGAGAGAGGTGAGAGATACAGAGAGAGGTGAGAGAGAGAGAGAGGTGAGAGAGACAGAGAGAGGTGAGAGATACAGAGAGAGGTGAGAGAGAGAGAGAGGTGAAAGAGAGACAGAGAGATGAGAGAGACAAAGAGAGGTGAAAGAGACAGAGAGGTGAGAGAGACAGAGAGAGGTGAAAGCGAGAGAGAGGTGAGAGAGACAGAGAGAGTTGAGAGAGACAGAAAGAGGTGAGAGAGAGAAAGAGGTGAAAGAGAGAGAGACAGAGAGAGGTGAGATAGACAAAGAGAGGTGAGAGAGACAGAGAGGTGAAAGAGAGAGAGAGGTGAGAGAGACAGAGAGAGGTGAAAGATAGAGAGGTAAGAAAGAAAGAGAGCGAGAGATGGGAGGGAGAGATGGGGCCTCTCTGGGGGAGGAGCAGGGAGAGCAGTGGATGTAGCGTGTGTGTGATGTCCTTCAACAAGGATCCGCTCGTCTGATTCTGTCAGAGAGAGGGGGGTGGACGGGGGGAGGAGAGGGGGAGGAGAAGGGGGAGGGTCCAGGTTGATGTGATATAGTTTTGATGGTGTGACAGGAGGAGGAGTGCTGTACTTTATATGAGCCTTTAGTCCATGTTTCAGCATCGTTCCATCTGCAAACTGTGGCTCCATCTGAGAGCTGATTGGCTGAGAGCTGATTGGCTGATTGGTTTCTTTCTCCTGTCTGGATTTTTTTGTGTCTGTCTGAAGCATTTTTACTGCCTCGAAAAGGTTGAAAAGCGATTTCCACCAGCTCGACTTGGTCCTACTCTATACTCTACTCTACTCTACACTAGGGGGGGGGGTAGAGTAGGGTAGAGTACAGTAAGGTTAGGGTAAAGGAGGTTAGAGTAGGGTAGAGTAGGGTGGGGTAAAGTATGATCAATGAGACAAATAGAGTAGAGTAGAGTAGAGTAGAGTAGAGTAGAGTAGTCATCCGAAGAATCCTTCCCTTTGGTCCGAGAGAGAGAACTCCGAGTGGAATATTTTGGTGTTTTCTTGACCGTGAAAAATGTCACTTTTCAGATGGACTTGTTACGAGACTGACTCCAGAGACGCCGCGCTCGGAAACAGCTGCTCTCTCATAATATTGTCTCTCTCTCATAATAATGTCTCTCTCTCTCATAATAATGTCTCTCTCTCTCATAATAATGTCTCTCTCTCTCATAATAATGTCTCTCTCTCAGCTGCAGGATCGGCCTTTTCACTGCTGCTGCTTCAGACCTCGTTCAGTCGCCATCTCTGAGTTTGACATTTCAGACCTCATTTGTGGCTTATACGAGAATGTGTGTGTGGTGAAAGACAAGAATGTGTGTGTGGTGAAAGACAAGAATGTGTGTGTGGTGAAAGACAAGAATATGTGTGTGGTGAAAGGATCTTCTAGAGAAACATTAAATTCAATGTGTTTGTGTATTTACCTTATTTGGCCTTTACAAAGTTGTTGATTCACCAAAAACAGATCAGAGAATAAAAGAGAGAGAGACTAGAGAGAAACCAGAGAGAGACCAGAGAGAAGCCTGAGAAGCCACTTTGTAAACACAGTATTTAAAAAGTGCCATACAAATAAATGTGTATCATTATAACTCTGATGTCATTGTTGTCTGCAGGTTGGAGAGTACGGCGTACCAGGTGATGCAGTTGGAGTTTGAGGTGGACAATGTGATAAACCTGGTGCCCACCCAGACCCTGCACTGGAACACTGAGTACCCCACCGACACCCCGGCAACCGCCCGGCAACCAGAGAAGGTCTCGCATCTGTACATCAGCAACGCAGACATCCAGGGCATCGTACCGCTGGCCGAGGTATGAGAGAGTACACACAGTTATACAGACAGAGAGAGACCAGAGAGAGACCAGAGAGATAGGAGAGAGAAACCAGAGAGAGAGCAGAGAGAGACCAGAGAGAGAGCAGAGAGAGACCAGAGAGAGACAAGAGAGAGACAAGAGAGAGACCAGAGAGAGACCAGAAAGAGACTACAGAGAGAGACCAGAGACCAGAGAGAGACCAGAGAGATCAGAGAGAGACCAGAGAGAGACCAGAGAGACCAGAGAGAGTGCAGAGAGAGAGAGAGCAGGGAGAGACCAGAGAGAGACCAGCGAGAGAGACCAGAAAGAGACTAGAGAGAAGGACCAGAAAGAGACTAGAGAGACCAGAGAGAGACCAGAAAGAGACTACAGAGAAAGACCAGAAATAGACTAGAGAGAGGGACCAGGAAGAGACTACAGAGACCAGAGAGAGAGACCAGAGATAGACCAGAGAGACTAGAGAGACTAGTGAGAGATACCGGAAAGAGACTAAAGAGACTAGAGACACTCCAGGGAATTACCAGAGGGACTAGACTACACAAAGTTCTTTACACATGGTCCCTGGTTTATGACAGGGGTGGTGTGTTCTAAAAGTAACTCGCAATAAATGAAAGTCTTGAAGTGTGTTTTAAGGCTGTGAAACCATCACATACACTTTCTACACCAGAGAGAGACCAGAGAGACTCGAGAGAGAAACCGGAGAGAGTTCAGAGACCAGAGAGAGAGAGTGAGAGACCAGAGTGATAGACCAGAAAGAGACAAGAAAGAGAATAGAGAAATCAGAGAGAGACCAGAAAGAAAACTGGGAGAGAGACCATAAAGAGAGAGTCCAGTGACCAGAGAGAGAGAGTGGACAGAGACCAGAGAAAGAGACAGAATCCAGAGACAGAGACCAGAGAGAGACGAGCCATGGTAGTCAGGGTCCACTGTACCACATTTTAAATCTTTCAGTTGCATTCACAGCTGAACTCTTTTAACCTGGGTCACATGGTACTTTATAAAAAATGACTGGTTCTTTTCATGGAGAGAGGTTTTGAAAGTGTATTATTAGCACAAACACTGACATCAGGAACATAATATTGAGTTTCAAAATGAGGTCTTTGAGTGCGTTTGCGATGGTAAAACACCAGATAGCATTAGCCACGTCAATAAACATTACTGTAGCAACATGTTCCACTCTCTCTCAGGTCATAGAACCAGGTCACATCACGGACACGTCAGCACAAAAACCAGGAGCTCTATTTGTGCTAAATTAAAGGGGACATACCATGTGTCTGCTCGTGTGAATCTACCACCCATGGTTTGATAAGGTTAAGGATCACAGACTGTATAGAGATGGACAATGCTAACATGCTAACCTGCTATCGCTCTATGATCCTGGAGTTTTTTTGATGTTGTCTTTGTAAATCCAGATATGAGCTGTTTATGGATTGACCAATCACATGCCTTCATTTTGGGGGATATTCCAGCTGGCCTTAGCAACCATGTTAGCAACACATTAGTTAGCATCTGGCCATGTGAAGGTGCAGAGGTAACGGCGTCATCACATATGGCTCTAGCTCAGTGTGAATGCTTTGTCTCCTCTGGTCTTGTGGCGTTCTGGTCTTGTGGCGTTCTGGTCATGTGACGTTCTGGTCATGTGACGTTCTGGTCATGTGACGTTCTGGTCATGTGGCGTTCTGGTCATGTGACGTTCTGGTCTTGTGACGTTCTGGTCATGTGACGTTCTGGTCATGTGGCGTTCTGGTCATGTGACGTTCTGGTCATGTGACGTTCTGGTCATGTGACGTTCTGGTCATGTGGCGTTCTGGTCATGTGACGTTCTGGTCATGTGGCGTTCTGGTCATGTGACGTTCTGGTCATGTGACGTTCTGGTCATGTGACGTTCTGGTCATGTGGCGTTCTGGTCATGTGACGTTCTGGTCTTGTGACGTTCTGGTCATGTGACGTTCTGGTCATGTGACGTTCTGGTCATGTGGCGTTCTGGTCATGTGACGTTCTGGTCTTGTGACGTTCTGGTCATGTGACGTTCTGGTCATGTGGCGTTCTGGTCATGTGACGTTCTGGTCATGTGACGTTCTGGTCATGTGACGTTCTGGTCATGTGGCGTTCTGGTCATGTGACGTTCTGGTCATGTGGCGTTCTGGTCATGTGACGTTCTGGTCATGTGACGTTCTGGTCATGTGACGTTCTGGTCATGTGACGTTCTGGTCATGTGGCGTTCTGGTCATGTGACGTTCTGGTCATGTGGCGTTCTGGTCATGTGGCGTTCTGGTCATGTGGCGTTCTGGTCATGTGGCGTTCTGGTCATGTGACGTTCTGGTCATGTGACGTTCTGGTCATGTGACGTTCTGGTCATGTGGCGTTCTGGTCATGTGGCGTTCTGGTCATGTGGCGTTCTGGTCATGTGACGTTCTGGTCATGTGCCGTTCTGGTCATGTGGCGTTCTGGTCATGTGACGTTCTGGTCATGTGGCGTTCTGGTCATGTGGCGTTCTGGTCATGTGGCGTTCTGGTCATGTGGCGTTCTGGTCATGTGACGTTCTGGTCATGTGACGTTCTGGTCATGTGACGTTCTGGTCATGTGACGTTCTGGTCATGTGACGTTCTGGTCATGTGGCGTTCTGGTCATGTGGCGTTCTGGTCATGTGGCGTTCTGGTCATGTGGTGTTCTGGTCATGTGACATTCTGGTCATGTGACGATGGAGGATCAAAAGCCCCAAAGGTCAGGTGTCGGCCCCGTGTGGAGACGAGGCCCCTGGACACCACAGCGGGGCCCTCAGCAGCAGAGACAGAGGACACGCAACCACATACACACACATGCATATATACACACATACACATACACACATACAATACACATACAAATACATATCACATACACACACATGCATAAATACACACATACACATACACACATACAGTACACATACACATACACACATACAGTACACATACACATACACACATACACATACACACATACACACATACACATACACACATACAGTACACATACAGTACACATACACATACACACATACAGTACACATACACATACAGTACACATACACATACACACATACAGTACACATACACATACACATACAGTACACATACACATACACACATACACACATACAGTACACATACACATACACACATACACATACACACATACAGTACACATACAGTACACATACACATACACATACACACATACAGTACACATACACATACACACATACACATACACACATACACATACACACATACAGTACACATACAGTACACATACACATACACACATACACACATACAGTACACATACACATACACACATACAGTACACATACAAATACATATCACATACACATACACACATACAATACACATACAAATACAAATACATATCACATACACATACACACATACAGTACACATACACATACACACATACACATACACACATACACATACACACATACACACATACAGTACACATACACATACACATACAGTACACATACACATACACACATACAATACACATACAAATACATATCACATACACATACACACATACAATACACATACAAATACATATCACATACACATACACACATACAATACACATACAAATACATATCACATACACATACACACATACAACACACATACACCTACATATATTGTACACACACACATATGCCTATATATACACACACACACACACACACACACACACACATTGAGCTCCAGTTTATGTAATGAGGAGAGATTAATGGATTCCCTTAAAATTATACAACCGTTTCAGTCCCACGGGAAGAGCTCGGGGTAGAGCTGCTGTTCCTCCACGTCGAGAGGAGCCAGTTGAAGAGACCAGGGGAAGACATAGTAGAGGGTGTAGAGGGAGAACTGTGTCTCTCTGTTGCCTGGAAACGCCTCAGGATCCCCCAGATGAGCTGGAGGAAGTGTGTGCCTCTGACTGGACAGCAGCCCCCCGGCTACGGATAAAGCGGAAGAAAATGGATGAAAGGATGAATGACACTATTTTGGTAATTGCAACGTAACAGGAAAGTCCAGACTGGGGACACACACCGAGAGCTCTGAGCTGAAATGGCCTGGATTCCATTAGCAGCGCGCTAAAGCTAATCTGGCCTGATAGCTTTCCTTCTAACAGCCTCAGAGAGAAACACATCTGGTGCGGCCTCGATGGTCTCTGTTCAAAGGAAACTAATGGTGTGGCTTTAACCATCAGAGTTTACAGGTGACTCTAAAGCACCAGGATTACTGTCCGAGAAGCTGGGAGGAAGGGAGGAAATGTAATTATATAGAACTGCAGCACGATGGGACCAGAGAGAGACCAGAGAGAGACCAGAGAGAGACCAGAGAGAGACCAGAGAGAGACACCAGAGACAGAGACCAGAGAGGGACCAGAGAGAGAGACAAGAGAGAGACCTCTTGTCTCTCTCTTGTTTCTCTGGTCTCTCTCTTGTCTCTCTCTGGTCTCTGTCTCTGGTCTCTCTCTGGTCTCTCTCTATGGTCTCTCTCTCTGGTCTCTCTCTCTGGTCTCTGTCTCTGGTGTCTCTCTCTGGTCTCTCTCTCTGGTCTCTGTCTCTGGTCTCTCTCTCTAGTCTCTCTCTGATGTCCCTCTGGTCTTTCTCTGGTCTCTCTCTGGTATCCCTCTGGTCTCTCGCTAGTCTCTCTCTGGTCTCTCTCTGGTCCCCCCCTCTCTGGTCTCTCTCTCTGGTCTCTTTCTGGTCTCTCTCTCTTTCAGTTATTGTGGGTTATTTTTAGAACACATCACCCCTGCCAAAAACCAGGAATAAGTACCTCCCTTCTTTGCTTCCTCCCACCCTCCCTTCCTCCCTCCTCCCTCCCCTTCCTCCCCTTCCTCCCTCCTCCCTCCCCTTCCTCCCCTTCCTCCCTCCCCTTCCTCCCTCCCCTTCCTCCCTCCCCTTCCTCCCCTTCCTCCCTCCCCTTCCTCCCCCTCCC